GGCGGTGGTTCGTGCTGAGCAACGGGCTCCTGAGCTACTACAGGTAACTGCTTCCGGGGCGCCGTCACTTACCTTGCCTCCCCCACCGCAGCTGACAGTCCCCGTACCGTCACCTTCGCCAGCTCGCACCGCAGCCAAGGTCGCCCCAGGCCCCTTTATGTCTGTCGACTACACGGATTGACAGTACGCAGTGGGAGCTCACCATTACAAAAGTGCAAGCCCCAGGATTTGCACCCCCGCCCCTTTGTTTTCCCACCCTTGGTGTCATATCTTTCCCCCTCACTTCCTGGCCTTTCCAGTCAGCAGTTGTTTGAACAGCTTTTCTTCCGTTGTAATTCCACCAGCACATGGGTGCAATTTTTAATTCTGCGAGCAACGCACTGTTGTAGGTGCTAAGGCACAAATGGACAAGCAGAGCCTAGGCGCTGCTTCCCAGGAACTTAACAGTGAAAGTCTCAAGTCCTAGCTCTCTGCGCCCAGTCTCCAAAATTCAAGGTTATTTATAAGCTCTCTTGATGTAAGCTCTCGATGTATCCGCCCTTACTCCCTCCACGTTCAGGCGCAAGGACTCTACACACAGGATGGCTTCAGCAATCTGTCTCCATGTCTCTTATCTCCCCAAGACTTGCATGTACTTTCGCCTTCTGGACAGCCCGAAATAGAGATGTGCACTCCAATGCTGCTTTTATGTCTGCTTGCCCCGCCTCCTCCCAAGAGAATAATAGACTGTTGTGCCCAGCATTTCTGTGTGATCTTTTTGGTTAGTTAGGATTACGTTTTATGAAAGAAGACTCCATATCTTTGGTATGATTACTCCTGTTCAGCACTGTTTATTTTGGAATGTCTAATAGATATTTGGGGGACTCAAACTAGCCATAACATGATATGCTTCCGACTACTATGTTATAGATAGAGGCGGCAAGATGGGTGATGTGGGGACAGGACATCAACTTTACCTGAAGGTTGAACAATGTGGCAAGGTTTTACAACAGTATTTCATCAGCTCTCAAAAACAGCCCTGAGAATTAAGAGATAATTCCCATCTTACTGATGAGGAAACTGAGACTTAACATAGGCAATTTTCTCAGCTTCTTGGAGAAATTAGGACTTTTCTTCACACCAGCATAACCTGAAAGCCAGGTTCATGTTACATGAATCAAATACAGAGGTAGTTACTTATTTATAGCAAGTCAATTTATAGATCATAGTTACTATGTATATTATATATAAAAAATTTAAAAGTCTCCATTAAGGGACCCTTTGCTTAACACAAGGGACTTCTAAAAGTTTGTGGAAATTCGGGACAAACAGATTGTGTAATGGCTATGTCGCTGGACTCATATGTAGTTGACCACGATTCAAGTCCCAGACCTGGTGGCTTGAAACTCACATGGGCATGTGTGGGTGCGTGCTCAAAATCCTGAAAGGAGAATGGAGGAGAAAGGATTGCCTTTTGGCCATCCCTCCTGGGGGAGTGACTTCTTCCTTTCTGTCTCTCCTTCTCTCTCTGTCTCTCTAGTGAGCACATGCACCCTATAGCAAAAATCTATTAAAAAAAAAAGTTTGTTGGGACCAGCAGTTGGCATAATGGTTATGTCGCTGGACTCCCATGTAGTTGACTGCAGTTCAAGTCTCAAACCCGGTGGCTTAAACTCACGCTGGGCGCGTGTGCATGTGTGCCCAGGATCCCCGAGAGTAGAGTGGGGGAGAAGGGATTACAGTGTGGCCATCCCCCCCAGGGGCTGATTTCTTGCTTTCTGTCTCTCTGTCTATGTCTTTCTGGTGAGCACATGCGCCCCATAGAAAAAACTTCTAAAAAAAAAAAAAAGTTTGTGGAAAATTGAAGTAAAATATATTTATTTTGGTGCAAATAAATTTTGAAATCCATGGACAGTTTTTTCATTATATCCTTTCTTTGGACTATTTGAAGACTTCCCATATAATGACAATTTTAATTGAGATCTTTCTAAATACCATCCTATTTGGGACACAGTTCCTTGATGCTTAGAGTCACTCACTATACTTCTTTGCCTTTGCCAGAAGTCATTCTGCTACTAGGAGAGTAAGGATGAACACTTCTCTTTTCCACCAACTTCACTACATGGACTATTAGGGAATTTTGAGGAGAAATTGAAGGTGGGAGTGTGGAAGTTATTATAGGAATACTTTTTAAATTCTTTTGCAATAGGGCGCATGGGCTTGCCAGAGACAGAGAGAGAGAGAGACAGAGGAGGAGGGGTAAAGTGAGAAATCATCCCTGGGGGGATGCCACACTGCAATCCCTTCTCTTCTGTTCTCCTCTGGGGATTTTGGGCACATGTGCATGGCAATTTTCAAACCACCAGGTCTGGACTTGAACCACTGGGGAGTTGGCTATATGGGATCCAGCTGCCTTACCCTTCATGCCAGGGACACATCCTTCGCTCTCCTCTAACAATGGGAAGTGCTTTAGATAGCTCATCCTCACTGCTTGATTATGAACAGTTGTATATATCATTTGCATCATTATTCAGAATTGATTTTTAATTATATCCTCTTTTAACTGCTCATGCATGATTATCAAATTTAAGGTTAGATCACAAATCTAAAATTTTTAGTTTGCTCAAAGTTGTTTATCCCACTATAGTTCACATTTTCCTGTTACCATTGACCACCATTCTGATTTATATCCCGATTATGATTAGCACTAATTCCCCATTTTTAAAAATTGGCTGAGGGCCTTAATTTATGGTCATTTCTCTTCATCCAGGTTCTTATAGGATTCACTTTCTAGGCTAGTTAATTCTTTCTTAAATATCAGTCTTGGTCAGTATTGGTTTGGGACATTAGTAACATATGCGTTATCTCTTTAAGTGTGATCACTTTTAACTTCTGTTATGAGAGCTAGTGGTACCTGTCTGATACAGATAAAACTCCTTCCAAAACATACCAAGCCACATATCAGGAAATATGCTGTAGGCCAGACCTGGCCAGCTAAGACTTTCCCACCCACAAACCAGCCGAGCCACGATCCAGTTAGCAAATCTATGCACTGTCCTCACGGCCCCAGTGAAGTCCTTCCTACCAACATTACTAGTAATTTATTCTTTGAGTAGGGTTCTACAGGTCCCCATGTTTCTCCCAGAACTGTTTAGCCCAGTTGTCATTCCTCCTACTTTTCTTCTAATTCTTTTTCTCTCTTTTTTTGGGGGGGTGGGGTGGGGGGGTGGGGGTGGTGGTCAGGGGACATGTGCTTTTATCAGAGAAAGAGAGAGGGAAAAAGCACCTCCTAAAGGGAATGGTCACATCTCAATCCCTTTTCCACTTCTTCCTCTTTTCAGGATTTTGGGCATGCATGCACAAGTATCCAGAGTGTTTTTCAAATTTCCAGATCTGGGGGTCAAACTGCACTGTTGACCTTGCTCCCTTACCACCAGGCCACAGGCTGGCCCTCTTCATTTTTCATGTCTCCAAAACCTGCCATGTCTTATGTACGCCATTTCTAAAATACTGTTTTTCTATTAACTGAGATTGTGGACTTCTAGACCCATTCTTAGATGACTGTCCTAGTAGTTGCTGACTAGCTGTTTCCTTCTTTTTACCTTCTCTGTTCTTTCGTATGTACCAAGTTACATAAATATCTTATTACTTAAAACCTTATATAGAATCCCAGCTCTTCCAGAAGCGTTGTGACAGGCCATCATATTAGTTTTCCTTGCTAGTTTCTGGAGATTAAATTACTATTGATATTTTGGTTGGTCTTTTCAGGGAAGATCTCTCCAGCCAGAAAATATCACCTAATACTAAAGCCCCTCAAGAACTTACCTTGCACCCTGAGACTCGTGTCTTTCCAGCTTCTACACTTATCATTTATAACCATAGGTGTATCTGCACAAACTCAAGTGTTCTGAGGTCAAGTCTTCCCTGCCCTCAGAGTTCCTTGGGATTTTTTAAAACTGCTGCTGACTTCATGTGATTTGGGAAACTTGAAGATTAGCCAGGTAGAAATTCCTCGGAAGCGTTTTGTGAAAAATGCTAGTAACAAAGAATGTGGTAGAAAGTCCAAGTAGCACCCTTGAAGTAGAAAGCAAGGGTGAGCTAGCCTGTCAGCTGTGTGTCTGTAATTCAGCCTGCATTATTCATAATGTAACTGAAGCTTGGGGGTGGGGAGTAAGATTAGAAAAAAAAAAAAAGAAACAGGGATTCATGTTACACTGTGGCAGGTGCAGGGGATGGAAAATGACCCAGACCATTGAGACCCTCCCCCCCCCAGCCATCCCATACTGCGCATTGTGTATTTGAGGAAGAAAAACCAGTTTAATGTGATAAACTGAACTACAGCAAATCTGCCTTCCTAAGTGCAGTAAACCAGCCTTCTCAAACATACAAATCTTAGTGTCTGGAAACGAATGGGGCGTGTGCTGTTTCTGGCATGCAGGAATTCTGGATGTGCCAGGTGTGTTTGGCCGCTTGGCTCCACTGAAAGGGAAATGGCACTGCTTTGTACTGTGGCAATTGGCAAAGGACTTTGACCTCTTTATGTTCTAAGTTGGACAGAGAAAGCTGCAGTCTCAACATGCAGATCTCTGGATATAACCAGCAAGAGGAGGGGAATTAGCAGAATTTCTGCTGTACAAATCAATTGTGCTAGAAGCTTGATATTTTATGTGAAGTGTCTTGTAGCTTGTTGTCACCAAGTAGTGCTGTAAAGTTCAAAAGTTAGTCTATTAATAGAACTGTCAGTCAGTAGAGATTGGGAAAATTTTTACACCCAGTTCTCTGAGGGCAATTCTGCTGAATCTTTCCTAGCTATTAATAGGATGGCTTAGAGTCCCCACCAATAGACGTCAGGGGACCTTAGAAAAGAACATATTCCAGAAAGATTAAAACACCTGGTGATTCTTTTAAGACTATTTTTTTCTTTATACTCACCCCCTGTCAGAAAGCTGGTTATTCTTATATCATTTGAGCTATGGCCAGTATTTAATTCTCTAAACATTTAAGTGTGCTTTTGATACTTCTGCAGTGTAATTCTAAGTATGTCACTCAGGCTGAATTACAGTGGTGGAGATAGTTCAGTATATATAAAATTAAGCTATTCTTAGAGAATGAGATTATTGTATGAAGTCTTTTTGCATGAGATTATTAAGTACTTTATAGGAATAACTTGGCTAAGCAAAAATAATTTCTGACTGCAAAAGAACATGAGAGAACTTTTTGAGGTGATGGAAATGTTCCCTATCTTGATGGTGGTATTTGTTGCACAATTGTGTCAAAACTCGTTCTATTGTGCATTGAAAATTGCTGAATTGGGACCAGCAGATAGCGGACTCCCACATGGCTGAGAGCTATTCTAGTCCAAGACCTGGCAACTTGAAACTCATGCTCAGTGCATGTATGTGCATGCCCAAAATCCTGAGAAGAGAATGCAGCATGGCCATCCTTCCCGGGGGGTGATTTCTCCCTTTCTATCTCTCTGTCTCTCCTGTGAGTGCATGCACCCTGTAGCAAAAATCTCTCTCTCTCATTTGAGGGAAATATGACTAGAACCTAACTGATTCCTGAGACTTCCGTCTTTCCTTCCCTTCCCTTCCCTTCCCTTCCCTTCCCTTCCCTTCCCTTCCCTTCCCTTCCCTTCCCTCCTCTCTCTCTGTCCATCCATCCTTCCTTCTTTCCTTCCTTTTTTTCTTTTCTTTCTTTCCTTTCCCCTTCCTTCCTTCCTTCCTTTTTTCCTTCCTTCCTTCCTTCTTTTCCTTCCTTCCTTCCTTTCTTCTTTTTCTTTTTTTTTTTTTTTAACTGGACCAGAGAGAGAGAATGAGAAAGCAAGCCACCTGGTCCAGGACTTGAACCAAAGTAGGCCATGTGGGAGTCCACTCCAACCACCATGCCACCTGCCAGCTCCCTAGACTACCATATTTTCTTTTTTTAAGAATTATTTATTTTAATTTTGAGACCAGCAGTTAGCGTAATGGCTATGTCGCTGGACTCCCATGTAGTAGACTGCAGTTCGAGTCCCAGATCCAGCAGCTTAAACTCATGCGGGGTGCGTATGTGTGCATGCCTAAGATCCTGAGAGGAGAAAGGAGAAGGGATTGTGGCATGGCCATCCCTCCTGGGGAGCGATTTCTCACTTTCTGTCTCTCAGTCTCTCTCTGTCTTTCTAGAGAGCGCATGTGTCCTATAACAAAAAAACCTCCCCCCCAAAAAAAGAAAAAAAAGAATTCTTTATTTAAAATTTTTTTCTTTTTAAATTTGACCAGAGAGAGACAGAGAGAGAGAGAGAATGAGAAAGCAAGCCACCAGGTCCAGGACTCAAACTGTGGTCATCCTTGTGGGAGTGTCCAATTCCTTAACCACCGTGCCACCTGCTGGCTCCCACTGCTGTATTTTCAAAGGATTCAGTATGATGAAAAGAAATGGAATGTGCTGAAGGATTAACCGGCTCTCTATTTTCTGCTTAACCTGTCTTTGTCTCATTGCTGCAGGTCAAAGGCAGAAATGAGGCATACCTGCCGTGGCACCATCAACCTAGCCACTGCCAACATCACTGTGGAGGACTCTTGCAACTTCATCATTTCCAATGGGGGTGCTCAGACCTACCATCTGAAAGCTAGCTCAGAAGTGGAGCGGCAGCGCTGGGTGACCGCCCTGGAACTGGCCAAGGCCAAAGCAGTGAAGATGCTGGCAGAGTCAGGTAGGAAACAAAGAGCACCAGGCCAGAAGATCTTTCTGTTTGCCCCTGTTATGTGCAACTCTTATTTTGTTACTCTTTGTGCCATATTACTGGGTTATCACTTATCTCCTAGATGTTTTAAACTTTTCCTCATCGTGCAATTTCTCCTGAAATGACGGTTTCTCTCTGGGACTGATTCTGCCTCTCAGGAGCATTCAACAATGTCTGCAGACATTTTGGGTTGTGACAACTGAGTGGGGGGATATGCTTTTGGCATCTAGAGAATAGAGGCCAGAGATACTGCTAAACCTCCTATAATGCACAGAATAGCGCCCCCACAGCAAAGAATTATTTGACCAAAGTTAAAAACAACTCTGTCCTAGGAGCCAGCAGACGGCATGATGGTTAAGGCACTGTCCTCTCACATGGATGACCGTGGTTTGAGTTTCGGACCTGTAGGCTTAAAAATCATGCTAGGTGCATGTGTGTGCATGCCTAAAATCCTAGGAGGGGAATGGAGGAGAAGGGATTGCAATGTGGCCATTCCCCTGGGGGGGGTTGTGTGATTTTTTTTTTTTTACTACTTGCTTTCTCACTGTCTCTCTCTAGCGAGTACACATGCCCTATGGCAAAAACCTAAAAAAAAAAAAAAAAAAAAATACCCACCTCTGTCCTAGAGGCATAATAGTGTACTTAGTGTACTTTTGATTTTAATCCCAGTTGTCTACCTTAAAATTTGGATAAATAATTATTTTATTGTTAGGTCAATTTTAGGATTATTACAGTTCATGATTTGGATTTTTTTTTGGGGGGGGAGGTTTTTGCTATAGGGCACGTGTGCTCTCCAGAAAGAGAGAGAGAGAGAGAGAGGCAGAAAGCGAGAAATCACCCCCTGGGGGGGATGGCCACATTGCAGTCCCTTTTTCTCCATTTTCCTCTCGGGATCTTGGGCACACATGCACATGCGCCTGGTGTGAATTTAAGCCACCGGGTCCAAGACTTGAACTGCAGTCAACTACATGACAGTCTAGCAACATAGCTATTATGCCAACTGCTGGTCCTGGGTACTTTTTTTTCTTAATATTGTTTTAACTGTTTGTTAGTTAAATTCAAAAAGTGTTAATAGATTGCCAAAAATTTACATGTAATATTTTTTCATTAAGAAAAATTTTGCGGGACCAGCAGTTAGCGTAATGGCTATGTTGCTGGACTCCCACGTAGTCAACTGCGATTCGCGTCCCGGACCCAGTGGCTTAAAACTCACGCCGGGCACATGTGCGTGTGTGCCCAGGATCCCGAGAGGAGAATGGAGGAGAAGGGATTGTAGCATGGCCATCCCCTCCGGGGGGTGATTTCTCGCTTTCTGTCTCTCTGTCTCTCTCTGTCTGGCGAGCATACTCGCCCTATAGCAAAAACCTCTTCAAAAAAAAGAAAAAAAAATTTTGCTGCAGGGACAAGAAGATGGCATAATGGTTAAATTGCCACGTGGGAGTGGTTCAAATCCCAAACCTGATGTCTTAAAGCTCAGGCTGGTCACGTGTGGGTGTGTGTGCGTTCAAAATCCCGAGAGGAGAGTGGAGAAGAAGGGATTGCCGTGTGGCCATCCTCCCCAGGCGGAGGGTGTGTGTATGTGTGTGTGTGTGTGTGTGTGTGTGTGTGTGTGTGTGATTTCTTTCTTTCTGTCTCTCTCTGTCTCTCCAGTGAGCCCACATGCCCTATAGCAAAAAATCTCTTTAAAAGAAATTTTATTTTTTGCTATGTTAGTCACACTAAAAAAGAGCAATCTTGGGACCAGCAGTTAGCAAATGGTTATGTTGCTGGACCCCCAAGTAGCCAACCGCAGTTCGAGTCCCAGACCTTAAACTCATTCGAGTCCCATGCCCAGGCTTAAACTCATTCTGGGCATGTGTGCGTGCGTGCCCAAGATCCTGAGAGGAGAATGGAGAAAAAGGGATTGTGGTGTGGCTATCCCCCCCTGGGGGGTGATTTCTCGATTTCTGTTTCTCTGTCCCTCTCTGTCGTTCTGGCAAGGGCACGCGCCCTATAACAAAAACCTCTAAAAAAAAAAAAAGAGCAATTCCAGTTAGTTACTGGTTATGTTTTGATTTTTTTTTTTCCAGTTTTGCTATAGGGTGTGTGTGCTTGTTGGAGAGAGATAAGGTAGGGGGGTGGAGGTATGAGAAAGCACCCCCAAGGGGGAATGGCCATGCCACAGTCTCTTCTCCTCCAGTCTACTCGTAGGATTTTGGGTACATGCACTTATACTTGGTGTGTTTTTCAAGCCACCAGGTCAAGGACTCTAACTGTACATTTGACCACGTGAGATCCAGCCACCTTAACCATCATGCCCCTGGCTGGCCTTATGTTTTGATTTTTCTTAAAGGAAAGTGATAGAATTTTCTCCCAACATATTGATAGTTTTATTATACTAAGCTTGCTCACTTAGAGCTGACCAATATGGTTACAGGCTGATTTCTGTTAGCATAATATCTATTTTATCTGCCAGAATTTCCCATGCTATATTTAATAGCTATTTTTTAAAAGAGTTATTTTATTTCACTTTATTTATGTATGTATTTTTCATTTGACCAGAGAGGGATGGAGAGAGAGAATGAGAGAAAGGGAAAGTGAGAAAGCAAGCCACCAGGTCCGGGACTTGAACCACGGTCGCCCATGTGGGAGTCCAGCATCCTTCACCACCACACCACCTGCTGGCCCCTTAATAGCTATTAAACAGTGAAAAGAAAATTCACCTCTTTGTAAATTTTTTGTTAACCAGTTATATTTTGACTGGCTCTCCCTCTCTGTCTAGCAGATAGGGAATATCATCCCTTATTTCTTTTGGTTTGATTTTAGTGCTGATGTTAGCTCCCACAAAGGAAGTGACACTGCTGGAAAAGCGCTTTGCAGTTACAAAGTGTTAAGTACAAAATAGCTAGAGATAAAGCATAGCTTCTACTTTTCTTACTATTGGAGAGCTATTTAAGACTTTATATTACTTTTAAAAACTGTTATTTATTTAATTTTATTTATTCATTCATTTATTTTAATTTGACCAGAGAGAGAGACACAGAGAGAGAGGGAAAGTCAGAAAGCAAGCCACCAAGTCTGGGACTTAAACCGCGGTTGGCCATGTGGGAGTATCCAGCACCTTAACCACCATGGTACCTGCTGGCCCCAAGACTTTGCATTACTTTTATGATGGCTTTACTGTCACATGAGTTCATCATGAAATTCCTTCAGAAAAAAATAAACTCGTGAACCTTCTAGTGATGTGGACTTGATTTACAAAGAGCTAGCTAGAGTATGATTCTCAGCTTATTTCAAACAAGGCCCACTGATCACAGATTTGCAATAATTAGCTCAGACTATATTGGAAACTTCAGACTAGAGTTACAAGGCTCAATAATTCATTCCCAATTCCAAGAGCTATTGACCTTCTCCATCCCGTCCTCTAAATCAGTGATTCTCAAATTTTAATGTGAGAATTGGGACCAGCAGTTAGCATAATGGCTAGGTCACTGAACTCCCATGTAGTGACCACAGTTTGAATCTCGGACCCGGTGGCTTAAACTCACGCCGGGCGCATGAGTGTGTGAGTGCCCAAGATTCCAAGAGGAGAATGGAGAAGGGATTGTGGTGTGGCCATCCTCCCTGGGAGGTGATTTCTCACTTTCTGTCTCTCTGTCTCTCTCTGTCTTTCTGGCGAGCACAGGCACCCTATAGCAAAAACCTCTCCAAAAGAAAATTTTATGTGAGAATTACCTGAACAGCTTATTGGCAATGCAGATTTCTGAGCCATGTTTCATACTAACTAAATCAGTCTCTGAGGGCAGGGACAAGACTCTTTAAGAAGCACCCCAGTTATTTGTAGTACAGGTGATCTATGGACTACACAGTAGAGGTTGCTAATGACAAACCCTCAGTCAGTCAGACTGCACAGCATGAGGAGTGTCAGTTTGGTTGTGGGCATACTAGGTAGGGTTCTATTTCTCAGTCCTTGTCCAGAGTCACATAACGTACCTTTTCATCGCTATAGATGAATCAGGAGATGAAGAGTCTGTCTCACAAACTGACAAGACAGAGCTGCAGAATACCCTGCGGACCCTCTCCAGCAAAGTGGAGGACCTGAGCACATGCAATGACTTGATAGCTAAGCATGGCACAGCTTTGCAGCGTTCCCTCAGTGAGTTAGAGTCCCTGAAGTTACCTGCTGAAAGTAACGAGAAGATCAAACAAGTCAACGAACGGGCCACACTCTTCAGGATAACATCCAATGCCATGATCAATGTGAGTACAGATGGTATCTGTGTAGCTTTTTGATTCTTTCCCTCTTTGAAACATGATTCTCTCTAAATGACTGAATATTGTAATTGATATAACACAGAACATTAGGTCCTGCTTCACTGCTTGAGGCTTTAAGTTACATTGTTTATCGCATGAAATAGAACAGGTTGCACAGAGTGAATGACTTTCAGGCTATGCTTAAGTGGTCAAGAGGACACTGCTTCAGCCTAGGAGTGAGTGAGGAGAGCAGAGCCTCAGCCCTGCTTCTGCAACCAGCTGAGCATTGAATGGTGATATTATTGGAATCCGTTATTCTGAATTGTGGATTTGTTTATTTATTTATTTTTGTCTTAAATCTAACTAAAAGATCTCCAAGGTCCTTTCCATTGTCATGTTCTTTGAGTTTTAAGTTAGAGATGTATTCCTACTTTGCTTATGCATTTGGCATACAGAGTGGTACGTGGGGGCTAGATCAAGTACTAGACTGAGTACTGTAGTACTGTTAATAGTCCTCGGCTTCAAGGCTAATTCTGTTCATAAGACAAACCACCTAACTTTGGACACATTTCTTTTAAAAAGAACAGGCCAGCGTTCTGCCTTCTTATGACTCCTACCTCAGGTAGATGTTTTTGGTTTGCAGACTATTATAGCTGCTTGGCTGCAAGGTGCTTGGAAAACACAAAGTGCTATTGGCATTATTGATGTATTTTTAGGTATGAAATTAGTACATGGTTTCATGTATTAATTGTTGTTTTTCCTCTACTACTGGTAACTGATTCCCACTTGGCAGGTTGTTTTGTTACCTTTCACATAAAAACGCTTGGAGATATTTCATAAGTGGGTAGAATACTCTGTGAGAAAGGGCTTATTCAGGGTGTGTTTTTTTTTTGGTGTGCTCTTTTTGTGTGTGTGTGTGTGTGTTTCTGTTTAATTAAATGGGATGAAATTACCTCATGAGTGCCAGATTTTCCCTTGTTTAGAGAGTGATAGTAATCCATCTCTTAAGAATTTAGTGCATGTGGCTCCTAAAGATCAAAGCTTTTCCTGTGACCAAAGGAAAAATGTAGTTTTTCTCATTTAACTCCTTTGTGACTTAATGGGAAGTTGTGATAACTTTTATTTTCATATCATTTTTCTGAAGTGTTGAACAGTTTGTTCAGTGGTCTGATTCACACAAGGTGCAATTGTTTTCTTTACTTAGGGATTATAGAAAGATTATCTCCAAGGACTGGTCAGCAAATCAGTACAGATGCTTTTGTTTCTAAGATCTAGTCAGGTGCCCTTTTTCCAAATGGTTGTACTTCATATCAACTGTATGCTTGTTTTTCAGTCTTCTTGTGATCTGGAAGATCTTATAAACCATGCAGGCCAAATTATCAATAGTAAGTAAATATATTTTTTAAATAGAACAACTGAGGGACCAGCCACTGGTGTGATGATTAAGGTACCTGGGTCCCACATGGCTGACTGCACAGTTTGAGTCCCAGACTTTGCGGCTTGAAAAAAATGCCAGGCACATGTGTGTGCATGCCCAAAATCCCAAGAGGAGAATGGAGAAGGAATTGGTGGCATGACCAGATCCCCTTGGGGGGTACTTTATCACTTTCTCTCTCTCTCTCTCTCTCATCTCTCTGGTGAGTGCATGAGTCCTATAGCAAGCTAAAATAAATACAGAAATGAATGACTGAATGACTCACTGAATAAATAAAAAGCAAACAAACAGCTTAGGGTATAGTGGTCTTCTGAGAGTCAGTGCTGCCTTTTATCTATGTGAGGTGAACACCTCACTCCATGACAGTTTTTTTTTTCCCTACTCTAATGTGAAAATTTTGCTAAATAAAACACACCTTTGTAAAACTGGAACCTTAGTTTGAGTTTTCCTCCTGAAAATGTATTTATCTTTGTTCCTTAAGGAAATTCTTTTTTTTTCAGTTCTAAATGGCCAGAGTTTATGTTAAAAGAAATGATCCCTGGGACCAGCAGATGAGTTACGTCACTGAACTCCCACATAGTCGATCATGGTTTGAATCACTGACCCAGAGGCTTAAAATTCATGCCGGGTGTGTGTGTGTGTGTGTGTGTGTGTGTGTGTGTGCGTGTGCGCGCGCGTGCGCGCGCGCGCGCGCACGGGCGTGTGTGTGTCCAAAATCTCAGAGGAGAATGGAGGAGAAGGAATTGTGGTGTGGCCATCTCCCCTGGGGGGTGATTTCTTGCTTTCTGTCTCTCTGGCGAGTGCATGCATTCTATCTCAAAAATCTCTCTCTCAAAAAAAAAAAAAAAAAGGAATGTGATCACTTGGAAATCAGAGATAAGTTCTATTTCGTCATTCTGGTCTTCCTTAGTATACTGCCTGTGCCTGTTTCAGAGCTGGTGATTGCTTGAAGTGCATTTTTATTCCTGTGTTGTTCCTTTGTGCCTTTGTAGTAAGGCTTTAAATGCATTGCACATGGTTAAAAATTGAAATGCTAGCGCATCACAGGCAGAGGGAGCAAATCCGACACTGTTCGTGTATTTATTTGCTATCTATCGAGGACCTGCTGTGTTCCAGGCACCATGCTAGGGGATATTTCTGAAGGTAGATATGGTCCTTGCCTCAGAGAGATTACTGTCTGTTCAGGATTCAGGGAAGTAAACGAATCAAGTGTGCTAAATGCCATGATAGAAATGAGCACAGACTGCTAAGGAATAGCAAATCAGAGGTGTTTATCTCAGACCAGGAAGATAAGAGAAGGTAATACTTCAAATTCTTAAGGATCTGTAAGAGTCTTCTTATAAAAAAGGCACCTGACTCATATAACCTGGAGCAATTACATCCTCTTTGATCTCAATTTCTTATCTGTAAATGGTGATAATAAAAGTCAACACTTTATAGGACTGTGAAAGGGTTTTATTAAATAATTTATGGAAAGTGCTCAGCAAAGTGCCTGACAGTCTTCTCTCAATAAATTTGAATATGAACAGGATTATTAAACAGAAGTGAGGGGCCAGTGGGTAGTGTGGTGGTTAGGTGCATGACTCCCACATGACAGAGTGTGGTTTGAGTCCTGGACCTGGCGGCCTGCTTTCTCACTTTCCTTCTCACCCTCTCACCCTTTCTCCATCTTTGGTGAGTGCATGTGGCCTATAGCAAATTAAAATGATAACAGTAATAATAATAATAAATAATTATTAAAGAAGAAAGAGAAAGGGAGAAAGCTTGATCTGGGTAGTTGTGTGGCATCTGTGGATCCCTTCCTCTCCCCTAAAACCTGGGAATTGCTGTTAATTGACTGATAGTCAAGAGCAAGGAAGTAGCTAGAGAAGCAGCTGGAGAGGAGTTAGGAGTAGTGGTGGGAGGGAGGTACAGATCATGCTCAGGGGACTTGGCGTGAAAATGGATTAGAAGAGGGTGAGCCCAATTTTGACACTGCCTAATTATAATAGCTAACATCTTCTTGGATGCTTGCTGTGAGCCCAGTACTGCTCTAAGTACTTTACATATAAAGAAGTAAAACTGTGAGGTTGCTACTGTTGTTCTTCTCTGTTTATAGATAAGGAAGGCAAAGAGAGTGACCTGCTCAGAATTCCACAGCCAGAGAGTGGAATAGAGTCATGCTTTGAGGCCTAATAGTTCAACCCTAGAATCATGTATGCTGTGCATCTAAATATAGGAAATGGAGAGGACTATACCGTTCCAAAAATGTTAAGGAAGAACGAATAGGACTTGCTAAGTGGATGTGAGGAAGGAAAACTAAGAGGAGGATGCCCCTTAGGTTTTGACCTGGACAGGCGAGAGGGCCCTAGAACTGTTCTTTATATATATATATTTCAATTTATTTATTTGCATTCATTCACTGTACATCATTACAACATACAAAATGAGATTTTCCATCCAGAGTACACTGTATATTGTCTCAATCAAGCACATCAACAAACATGTTATTGTCAGCAAATGATTTTCCATTTCTTGTGTTCTGTACATTTTGATTTTTTTTCCCCCTGTCCTTGATTCCCTATCTCTTACCCTCTGCCATCTCCCACTCTCCTCCCACACTGTCTCTGGTATCTATGTTTGCTTTCCATACTGTTTTCTCCCCACATTTTATTGAATCACCAAAGACCTTAGCAATCCAAATATCGTCATAGCAAACACAGGTGACACACACATTTTCATGAACACAAGTCTAACTTTACACATCCTATAAAGTAGTACCTAGCTGGGGCTACATATCTTACTACAGTCATTGAATAGATATTTTTTTTTTCTGAAACTTTTTTTTTGTAACTCAATTTACATTCCTTCCCTAAGTATCACAGCACACATCAAAATGTGATCTCCCATCCAGTACACACTGCATAGTGACTCAATCATGCACATTATAAAAAATTTTCCATTTCTAGTTCCTAGAATTATTTCCACCCCTCTTTCTGACCCTCTGTCCCTTCCCAC